AAGAAGAGCTGCCAAAAAGTTGCTGCCAAAATGACGATGAGAATAGTGACGGTAGTAGTGGTGAAAGCAAGAAGAATGATGGAGAGAGCACTTCTAAACGAAGTCGAGTGCAGGGTGACAGTCTGAGTAGACACGTGCAGTTTTCTTCTGTTATTACTACGGTATCTGTCTTTAATCCTGAGAATAGCGTAGCTCCCCCTACGACGCTCGGTCCCGGGGTCCCAGATAGTGGACTATAGAAACATTTTGTGTTTCCCGCCGCACTGAGACTGACGTCTTTTCATTGGTCAGCCGGTTAGCGCGGTCGATGCTAATAATAAAAGCACACACACACTCAGCGTGCACGCGCTCTGCTTTGAGTGGAAAGAGAAATCGCACTTGGACTGTCCACCGTTTCCGTCATGCTTTCGTCATGGGGTGGACTACACATGCCGTTGCAGCATGCAGCGAATTTTTGCTGGGAGACGTTCACAATACGAATTACAGAAGGGTGGGTGGCCCGGTATACATGACCCGCACCCACAGCAGTAGTGTCACGACGAGATGTTGCCGCTATTCAACGCAGGTCGCTAAACCGAACTACCAGTTATATTACAGTTATAATACGGCGGTGCGGCGGTGCGACGTGGATTTGTGGTCACTAGACAGGGCATGTGGCCAAACAGGGGATCACGAAACACTTCCCCCCCACTGCTGTAACCAGTTCTTCTGCGGCTGAGAACGCATAAACTAATACCCGTGTAGAGACGCAGAGCCTCCACCCTCTGTGCCCTTTTCGATTGGCGATCTCCGCGTGCATTATTTTGTTTTTTTATCCCTCTGGCGTTGCTGTTGTCAGCAGCCACAACTCAACACAGATGGAGCACGCCACTACTTGCTACAGTGCACGATACCACACGCGATACTAAAAACAAGGTACGGAAGCGGCGACCTTCCCGTCATTAATGAACGCTCGGAGATTTCGAGGCCACCGTCTGCCTTCTGCTCGGAGAGACTAACCTGATCGTGTCGTCCTATGGAAAACCACCAAAAAACAGCTGGCAACGGCAAAGAAGACCGGAAAAACCTCTGCAACATTGCCACCGATACATGCGCAAGTCCTTGCCAGGCCGCCCCGTCCTCGTCAGCTGTACAAGCCCACGTCTATCGTTTCAGGAGTTCGAGAGTCATTACCATCTCCCCCCTCCCCCGGTCTCTTTGGTTCCTACTCCAAGCTCAACTCGAGGCTTTTCATTGAGCGATGGGCTCTTGCTCGTGCTCGGTGTTTGCTGGTACATGTACTGCTGCGGCCAGACACTACACCGGTATATCGGCCTAATGGCACAGCATCATTCGTCTAGAAGGACTCCCTCCGACAACAGAGCAAATGACGACAGACACCCAGCACTCGATTCTCGAAAACTATCACAAGGCCGCTCCCCACCCCCACCATCTGCCGTTTCGACCGAACCGGTAACGTTTCTGTGTGTCGCCGTTCTTTGTGATCCTTCCCATCCACGCGGTTCTTACCCCCAGTTTTTCTAAAAACATTTTATGATCATGTTGTAAAATTTCAAGTTGCTGCCTGCATGTACGTGCTTGTCTCGATCGTGTCCGGCAGCTCGGGGATGTCCACCTCGAACCGAGACTGCACTTCTTCCAGCTTCTTGGCGTCAGACTCCGTCGATACGAACGAGATAGACAGACCCTTGGTGCCGAACCTGTTGAACGGAAAGAGAGAGAGATAGAGAAACAGAGGGGGTGTTTGCGTGACACGGAAAGAACAATGAGAATTGTTAAGCGCAAAAAATGCAGCGACAAACATAGGCCTACTCGGTACTGCAAGCTGTTTGCGGCAAACACTACTCGACAGAAAGGAAAAAAAAAACGTGTGTCACGGCCTTCGGCACTCAAGATCGGCTTGAAGAAAACCCGATGCTACATCTACACACACACGACTTCCTGTCCTTCGAAAAACGCGCACGACAATGCAACTAGGACCACGCTGGCCCTGTGCTACTGATTTCATTATTTAACGTATGCCACGCCCGGCCGTCCATTGCGGCCTACTCTCACAGAAAAGGTCCGATCCAGACTCCTTGAAAACAAGAAACCTTGAAACAAACAAGAAGCCGGTTCTGTTCTCACCGTCCTGCGCGGCCCACACGGTGGAGGTACTGGTCGGAGCCGTCGTCGCCATCGGGGAAGTCGTAGTTCACCACGATGTTCACGCGCTCGATGTCGATGCCGCGGCCGAAGAGGTCAGTGGCCACCAGGATGCGCTTCTCGAAGTTCTTGAACTGCTTGTAGCGGTTTGTCCTGTAGGGCGTGCGACAACAATTATTTACAGGATGGGACGAAAAAGTTGAGCTATATGCGCGTTCGTAACTTGTTGTTGAACTGTTGCTTATATATAGCGGTTTGTCCCGCAGGGCTGCCACAACTAGAGGATGTGCGCAAAACTGGGCTAGGAGGCCATGGGGGCAGAAAACTCTTACGCAAATAAATGAACCTACGTCGTTCTACACATGCACCACGTGGTGTCACATACAAGAGTCTTGTGCTTTGCACCATCTTTGAAGGACTGGTTTACCACCCACAGATGCACCAACGACTTGTTTCGCGGTGCTTGACGTGGCATCATCTCACAGTTCAGAAGTCTGTTCTCTGTGTGTTGCCTGCCTGTCCTTCCCCCTCTTGCATCTTACCCCCCTCCCCGTGTCACACCCTTCGGTTCCACGAAGTTAGCACCTTGTAAATAATGGTACGTTCGTTCGGTCCTCATCCCCCTACCCAGAGATGTTTTCGTCTCACACGCAGTCATTTGCGCATTCAATCACTTCGTCCTCCATCTCAAGAACGGCTTCGTGATTTTCGTCTGAAATCCCTCGCCACGCCACATGATAAGACGCAACCAAAACTGACAAATGAAACACATCAAAACTATATCTCGTAGATTGTGACGTCAGAGGACCTGTCCGAGATCTACCTTCGGGGTGTTGCTACCGACAATAGAGTCAGCGGACACGCTAAACTCGCGTACAAGCACAGCGAGCCAGCCAGCTGCCCCCCGTTGGCTAACCCGCTACCGTACGCACATCTCTTTTCAACCTCTCGCCGGGAGTGGTTGAGCCTGGTGATTCTGCACACCACACGCCCCACAAGGAAAACCCAACGTTACAGCAGAGCGTGCGAGCCTGGAGACCTACACAGGTCTCAGCGTCAACGGCAGGACTCGGGCCTCCTTATCCATCTCGACCCAGCACCTCTCTTTCGATCAGGGTTGCGAGGAATGAGAGTTTCACGCGTGGGGCGTACAGGGATTCGGACGACTGACCCGTTGTTTCGTCCAACGCTCACTAGCTCCAAGACGTCTAGTCGCAACGGTGGTCTCTTCCCGCGACCACGGTCGCGACGAGAAGTCTTGGAGCCAGCGAGTGTTGGACGTGGCAACAGGGTCTGTCGTTCGATTCCTGTACGCCCCAAACGTGAAACTCCCATTCGTCGCACCCCCGATGGAGAGAGAGGTGCTGAGTCAAGATGGATGAGGAGGCCGAGGCCCGGCGAGTTGTTTTGCGTTATGGTCAGGAGCCACTCAAGCTTTAACATACGCTACATAAAAAACACCTTTCTCCCAGATCGATCGCGCGTTCCGCTCTACTTGCCGCGATATCTATTCTCTCTCTGCTCATCTCCCTCGAAAGACACGTACACACGCACCTCTCCTCCTGCTTGAGGCGGGAGTGGATCACCAGGGACGGGAAGTTGCAGAGGTTCAGGAGGCGGTCCAGCTCCACAGCCCTATCCACCTTCGAGCAGAAGATTACCACCTGTGGTCCAAACACCACAAAAGAACGGGGGGCGGAAGGCCGGAGTACAGCATTGTGAGGGGGTGGGGTCAAGCGGCAAACATAACATAGCTGTGCCCCGGGAGGGCAGCATTAGCTTCGACATGAGATAGTCAAAGTTCAGCACTCCTACATACCGAGAACGACACAACTAAAAGCAAAATAAAAAACACCAGTTTACCACACAGCGTACTGTATAGCATATGGCATTTAGCAATCGAAGAGCGACACGGCAGTACCCACCTGGTTGAAGTCCAGGAGGTCGAGCAGGTCGTTCAGCTTGCGGTTCTTCTCCGTCTCCGCGAGCTTGATGTAGTACTGCTGGAGACCGTGCAGGGTCAGCTTCGTCTCGTCGTCTACGTAGATCTCCATCGGCTGTTGTTTTGGTTTTTCGGTTTTTTGGTTGTTTTGTCGTATTCGTACACGCCCCCCCACCCCCCATTTTTTTTTTGTTGCCACACACACGAAAGGGAGAGCAAGGCAAACGGGAAGAAGACGAGGGGCCAAGAAAAGAGCGAGAAAAAAAAAACGGGTCAACGGGAATAGAAGAGGAAACGGGGTCACACGACCTCATGCGTTCTCATCGATGTCCTGTCACGGGCGTTACAAAAAAATAAATGCTACTCTGCATCAACCAAACAACCCAACTCATCTACCGTTTCGAGTCCATAGAGCAACAACCTACTGCCGCAAGCGAGTCAACATACTCCTCGATGACAAAGCAAAGATTTATTCGTAAAAGCGGGAGCGGGGCACGCGAGGGGGTAGAGTTAGCTCGACAGGGGGCGCTAAAAAATGTTTCGAAGCGCCAAGAAACCGCTACCACCGGGAACGGTGTACGTAACACGGCCCCCGAGCTCCCCCGGGAAATCCTTCTCATACCAAGCGCACGCGGCGCTACAAGTGGTGGAGGGCTGGCAGCCTCTTGCGGTGCTGTAGCTGTAGCTGCGCCATCGCAGGGCCGCCACGCAAGGGAGCCAAGCTCTACCGCCCCCACTCTCGGATGAACCAGCCCAACGCCGTATCCAGCCTCCTCCCACGCTCTCTTTTCTCCTACACGCTTCTCAGCTGCCTCTCTTCTGCCCTCGCAAGGGGTCAAGAAGGGAGGGAACCCTTCCGTCCCACTATCCCATCCCATCTCATCCCTTGGTGCCGGGAGTTGGCGACGGCAAAGACCGTCATGGACGGGGACGGGGACGGGGATGCCACGTGTTTTCGTGACTCTACCACAAGAGCTGCGAGGGACTCTTGTGGTTTCGTCTGGCTACACACCGTGGCCTCCCTCGTCTTTGTCCGCCATTCCAGTTCGCCTCCGCACCCCACCCTTCGCCTTCCATGATGACCGCCGGGAAAAAAAGACTGAAAAAAACACCGAAATAAAAAACTCCCCCCCCTTTCCCGAATCTTGAGAAGACCTTCCGGCGCAAGCACAAATGGACATGCTTGCCAAAATAAAACAAGTCGCCCGTGCGTCGGAAACAAATGAGCCGTCCTGAACGGGGCCTCCTGGTAGCCCCGCGTCGCCGGGTTTTACATATCCAGCGCTCCTCGGCGCCCAATAATCATCCGCGCGCCCCCCTCCCCCGTCGCTCCGTAGACGCCAAAAAACAAGAAAAGCCTCTTTTGAATAATTGTTGAAATTTTGAGTGTTCGGGAAGTGGGTGTGGAATAGCAGCGTGGACCGCCGCCGGCCGCGGGTTTTCTTTTTTGTCTCTCTTTCGTTTGTTTTCAGCGGCGGCGATCGTCTCGCGGCTGCTGCTGTTGCTGCTGCTGATGGGGCGGCTGCTGCTGCTGCTGCTGCTGCTGTGCGTTGTGATGTTGGTGTGGCACCGAACCTTCTCGTGGCAGAACTTGCGGCAGATGGGGCGGACCTCCGGGCTGAGCGTGGCGGAGAACATCATGACCTGCTTCGTGTGCGGCGTCTTGAAGAAGATCTCCTGCACCTGGGCGCGCATGTCTGCCGTCCACGTTTTATTTTTTTGCGGCGACAGTGGACCGCAGTGCGGCAGGTCGGGATCGGTGATCGGTGTGTCCGTGTCGTTGTCGTCGTCGGCAGCAAGGTGTTTTTGGTCGTTGGTTTCGCCAACCAGACCACGCGCAAGCAGAGAGGAGAGACGACGCGAAGGTGGAGCGATGTGGTGGGAGGAGGGGGGGGGGGGGTCAAACGGCAAG